TTGCAATCTCGTTTGGTGAATGTTTACGGAAATACGGGTTCTTGAGTAGAACAAGCTATTTCCGTCGAAAGAAGAGTGATAGTGATATTGTTACCAAAAAGAAGACCAAAGATGAAATTCTAAAATTCTAAAAAAATCCAAAGCCAACCTTATTGACGGAAATGACCCATAATTCCATAGCTAGTAATGTCAACGCCTGAGCAACAACAGCCAATTCTCCAAAAGTGAAACACCTTTTCAATATTGTGGCTATCGAGTATAAAGAGACTTGATAGAAAATCTGGACGAAAAATACGCATTGCCATGGTAACTCTAAGTTCAAAGTTCTCTCAAAGATTAGCTTGATAAAAAAGGAAATTCCAAGGGATCTTATAAACGTAACATACTCTCATATAGTGGAAAGAGTCCAACTTTTGACAAAGAAATGACCACAAATATGGATATTCCAGCAACGATCGCCATTGCCCAAAGAGTTGACATACTATGTAAAATTACGTGTTTCGACATGAACATGTGTATAAGAATGCCCACTCCCATCACAAGACAAAGTTCAAAGTTTGCTTCGTAAAATTCTAGCCGCAATTAATGATCATGGGTTTGTGTATTGTAAAATGGATAAATATTAAATTTGATCATAAGAATAGAAGTGTCTTATTTGAAGTGAAACTAATCACCCATTTCAAGAAGCCGGGTTTATGACCCCCAAGACCAAGAAATCATCTTTCATACCGATGTTAGAATCTTCACCAAAATTTATAGAACGTTGAACGTCTACCAATTTCGCCGCAGCTACGGTAGGTAGTAATAACACCCCATGAAACGCGCCGTCATCGACATCACCTCTGCATTTTTTTGTTATATGAAAGTTGACTCTTTTGATGTTCATATTTGAAAAGATTGAAAATAATGAAATTTCGATCAGACCTATAACATTTATCGTCTGTTCCCCATATTTTGTGAAAGAGTTTTGCATCTTTATTTGAAAATGGAAAACCGAAAGAGTACACACACCATGTCCAAATTGCCAGTAACATCAAATCTAACGATTACATAAAGGCATATTGCAAT